GGGGCTTTCTACATTTGAAAAATGGCACTTCTAGAATACCGGGTCAGTTAAGAGACAATAATGGAAATATATTTTCGGATCCTCAGGATGTTGTGGATGCATTTGCTACTACCTTTGCCAATGTATTTAATGTTAACAACTCTACGCACATAGAGTCTACTTCTATTTCTTCAAATTCTTTCTCAATGTCTTCAATCAGCATAGAGGATTTAATACTGACAATGTCAAATTTAGCAAACAAGCAAACATGTGGTGATGACTTAGTCCCTAGTTTTTTGATACGTGACTGTAGATATGCACTTGCCAAACCTCTGTCGATCATAATTAACAGGACACTTAGAACTGGTAGATCTACATCTACAAACCTTGCAGAGCTTGTTCAAGATCTAAGTGTTGCACTTGATAAACGAGAACAAATAGACGTAATATATACTTACTTTTCCCGAGCTTTTGATGTTCTTCCTCACGACATTCTGTTAAGCAAACTTAATAACCTTGGATTTAACTATCCCCTTCTCAAACTGATGGAATCTTACTTAATAAACCCTAACAACTATTTATTTTACAAGGGTTTTACCTCTTTTCGTTTTTTGTCAAGGTCTGGATTCCCACAAAGCTCTAACCTTAGGCCTCTCCTCTTCAGTCTATTTATCAATGACCTTTTGGAATCTTTAAATTGCAGTATTTTAGCTTATGCTGATATCTCTGAAAATTTATTCTAAAATCTCAGTTCTTTATGATGCTGAGCTTTTACTACGTGAACTTATGAAAATCGTGGAATGGTGCTATCAACACAGACTTATTATTAATATTAGTAAATGTTGCTAGATTTCATATTGTCGAAAACTTAATATCGTTGATTTTTCTTATTCAATAGAAGGTACACTGTTAGAACGAAAAACTTCGATCAAAGATCTTGGAGTTACTTTTGATCGCTGTCTGACTTTTGATATTCATCTTACCAACATTTGCAATGCTGGAAATAAATCTTTGGGGTTTGACATGACAACTTCAAAATTTTTCAACAACATTGATGTAATTAAATCCCTCTTCTCTGCATATGTTCTTTCGAAATTAGAGTATGTCTCACTAATATGGTATCCCATATACATGTGTCAATGCAGACATTGATCTGCTAGAGAGAGTTCAAAAATTCTTCGTTGCATTGAATTTAAATCTCATTTGGTTCATGATAATGTAAGAGAACTCATGAATCTGCAAAAGTTAGGTTTAAGGAGGACTTTAGCAGAAGGGTGTGTACTCCACGTGCTTGTTAATCCTTATATAAATTCTCCAGCTCTGTTGTCCAAATTATCTTTTTATGTTCCTCATTCTGATGTAAGTAGTACACGTAGTTTTAAAATCTTTTGTAAGAAAAAAAAACACCATGCCACATCCGAACGTGCACGATTTTCGCGTTGTCAGCCCGAAGGCGAACACTTTATGCGAAGAGCTAACGAATTACCATGTAGGAACTTCCCTTACATTAGTGTAATCAGTTGCTGTACAATTTAGATTTTTTTGGGAAAATTTGTATGCCTCAGGGAAAATCTCGGGACAACGTCCGATTCATAAAGTGCCTTTTTTAAGGACCTTATTTAACGTAAAGACACTGTGAATTTCTACACTACTTTCCTGTTTCCGCTCGATCAGTAAAAACTTCCATTTTGTCGTGTCACTCCAGCGCCGACAAGTTGTCATGTTTAAAATCCAATATTCGGCAAGCGACTACAAGCAAAATAAGACGTAACAAATTATTTAACCTACTCCTTTCGCCAAACCTACTGGAGCTCCTTTTAGCCGATATTAGTTTCAAGTCAGTCATGGTTTGCGAAGTGGAACACCTCCTGGGTGCTGTTTACTCTTGTACAAGACACTCACGTGATTACTTCACGTCACTGCGTCTCCTGTGTTCCCTTAATACCACAAATAAACCCACAAGACCGCAGAAATATCATTTTTCACATAAATAATGGATTCGGCCACAGACACGGGCAGGCCCAAACCCTAACGACACTTTTCCATGCAGTTAAAGAACCAACACAAAAGCCAGTTGAGACGATTCCATTGTAAATGCCGCACAAAACTGCCAATTTGTGACGACCACAAACAGGGAGGTGGATAAAAAATCAGCAATTTTCAGCGGAGCGACCGGACTCAAATAACGAGAAGGTTGTGAATGGCGGCGCCATCGGTAAATATCAAATCCAGTTGGAAAAAGTTCGCCGGAGTTGGGAGCTACAAAGCCAGAAAGATGAACGCTAAATGCGGATATTTAATGTGTTTCCAGACACGTAATGTCGTTGGAAAATCGTGGAAATATCGCCGGCTGTCGGGCTACTTGAGGTTGAACGGGAACAATAAAGTTGTCTGGTCGAAATTAAAGGAAGAAGACTTTTATTTTGGGTTTTTCTAACATGATAAATGAAAACTTTAATACTCAGCTAAATGCTAAATGCAGTTATAGAACGAAGTCGGGCAGCTCGGAAAACGTACGTAATGTTTTGTAGTTTCTACGCTAAACAGACAGATGATCGACGGTCGGAAGCGGGGGACCTACCTTTTCATATTTTAGGAGCTCTATTACACTGGTTTATGTATTTATTTAATTTTAATCGACAAATTAGGTTTTTTGCCTTTTTATATCTACTTCAGGCATTGCAGCGAAATTTATATATTTATCCGAATTTAAAAAGTTCTGTTTATTTAACGCCCATTTATTACTACCTAAAATGTCTAATTTACCGTTAGAAACCTAAAGTGTTAATTAAACGACCTAATTGTAAATTTTAAAAGATTTAAAATAGGATTCCACGACCAACGACGCGGACGTGCTTGCACAATAGAGATTTTCCGTGAATTCAATGCCGCCAACTGACAACACTGGCCTGCATTTCATTTAGATTATAGCGGAAAGGAGGTGAATCTATGAAAAAACATTTTATTTTAGAAGTTTATTGTTAGTGATACTGAGTGTCTTTGCGTGTTAGTGAGTGTGCTGGGGTCGGTTTTGCTCTTTGTGCATACAGTAAAGAATCCTCAAAATGCCTATGGTAAAATCATCCATGAAAGATAAAATCAAATTATGGTTAGGGAATAATTTGGACACTAATTTTCAATTTCCTCTTTCAACCAAAGACAATGAGTTATTCTGCAAAGTATGTGGAAAACTTGTAAGTAAACATTTAAAATACTGAAGCTTGAATTATGTTCACATTTATGTTTCCTAGTTTAAGTGCGAAAAAAAATCACACTTTGAACAGCACTGCAGTGGCGATGCACATAAAAAGAACAAGAATAAATCCAGTAAACAGACTTTATTAAACATTAGTTCCCACAACGATTTTACGCAATTTTGCACCGAGTTATGTAGGGCATTTTCCGCAGCAAATATTCCATGGAATAAAGTTAATTTTCCGGAGTTTAAAAATTTTATGCATAAATATACAGGAAGGCATTTATTCTCAGAAAGCACTCTGAGAAAAAATTATTTACCAAAAGATTACGATATGGTGAGCACTAGAATTTTTGTTTAAAAACTTTTTAACATAAATTTTATAATTTACAGGTAATTAAACAAATTATTTTTAGGTTGTAATGTCATTTGAAACCACAAATGTACAAAACGTTAAAAAAGCTCAAGAATTCCTGAATAAAGCAAACGTTAACAATGAACTCTTGTACATTAAAACTCACTTTAAAATTATTGCTGATGCAATAGAACAATTAGAAACTATAGGTTTAAAATTAAACCAAAGTATGGAAATTGTGGAAAAAGTGTATACATCTTTAAAAAACACACCAGGAGAGGTGGGGGAAATGTCTTCCAAAAATTATGTTCTCTGTTAAAAAACAATCCAGGATACGATTTTATATGTTCAGTAAATAACGTAATTTTCGGTAATATTAGTAGTATTATGTTGGTAGCATAACAATACATACACAAATGAAAACGTAGATTGTTCAATATTTAATTTTGCACCCATCACTTCTTGTGATGTGGAACGCACGTTTTCGAAACTTAAAAGTGTTTTAAGCGATCAAAGGTGTAAATATACAATCGAAAATTTAGAGAAATATATAGTTTGCTTTTGTAACTCATTTTAAATACCTGAATTAATATTTTATTTTTTGTTAAATGCGACTTGCTTTAATTTGCTCACCATTTTTTTGCGGTAACTTAGAATTACTGGACGTAATTATAGATCGTTTATTTATTTAATAATTTTTTTGTTTGTTGCACAAAATATTTGTTTCGATAATGTTTTGTTTAATGCTTTTTTTAAATATATATTTTTTTGATGTATGCTTTTTCGTTGAGCAAATATTTTTTCTTCCAGGTTTTTAACCTAAACTAAGATTTTTATAACCTAATTCGTCAATTTTGGGACCCAAAAATGTCTCCTTTTATTCATTTTTTAACGACCTAAAATCCGAAGCATTGTAATGACAGTCTTTGTATTTGTTACTTAAAATTTGTCTTCATTATCCATTTTTCCAACACTCAATTTTATACTTTTTTCTAGACCTCTCAATAGAAAATTCAAGGATGCTACTTAACTCTTCTCGGTTTTATTTTGTTTTCGTTTACTGAATTTATTTCCTAAGTAATTTCCATAATGTACACAAAATGGTGATGTTTTTTTTTACGGGAGAGTTTGGAGGTTCGTACATGTAGATTTCTAACTTCTTATAGATATTTCCACAAATATATTCTTCAAACATGTGTTCTGAAATATGATTTGAATGAGCATAAAACTTGCTTAACTTTAAAATAACGTTATTAAATTTGCAGACAACGTATTGCAGGGAAAGGTCGGACAAGTTCGGATACTTAAGCGTGAACGTATATGAATAAACTAGAAGGTTTCAGATAAAGATAAATTAGCAACCTATGTAATAAAATAAACTGGTCGGGATGTTTTTAGACAAAGGTAGGAAATGTAAATCTAGTAATTCGATCGACAACCAATTTCGTGTACGTATGCAAAAGATTCCTATGAGTGACTGATTTAATTTTATTCCACTTGTAATTGAATATAAAGGTACTATTAAATGTTGTTTTCATCCTAAGTTGTTACCACCGACTAAGGATGCAAGAACCGTCGACGAAATTCTTTTACTTTTTTCGGCTATTGCTGTAGATAAGCCAATCAGAAACTGTCTATAACCATTTTCATCTAGCGTGTAACCTATAGTTCGAATGTAATAACCTCCAGTCTTTTTTTTGAAATGTTCGGTGAACAGACCCCTAACATCTGGTTGTTCTTGGTTGTCTATTATTTTTATTGTACCTTTCTCAAAACGTGCGTTGTAACTTAAATTTCGAATAATAGTACGAATTCTGAAAAAAAGAAAAATATGCAGCCTACAAAAACTATTAATTTTTTTTATCTCACCTTAAAGTGTAATTTGTGGAATCCCCAACAAACTGATTACTTAAATCAAACCTTTTCCGGTCCGTAAGAATTTCGGGACCTGGTAGTCCCAGTTTCGTAAAGTCTTCAACGTCACCGTATTTTGTCAAAGTTTCATTTAGTACACGTTCGTTTTCCGTTGCACTTTCCGTATTTTTCAGGTCGGAGATTTCGTCGTGACTTCGAGCCGTGGATGTGTAGCATAATAGCATGCATAGTAGTAACTGTAAATGTAATATTTTTATTACTAATAAAGTTTTTTTGTTGAATTGTATCACGTTTTTGATGGGGATGATAGACAAATTTTGGTTAGTGTTTTGCCATCTACATGACATTCCTAATGTACATACAAAATATGACAACAGTCGGTCCAGTAGTTTCGGAGATTATTCGTCTAACAAAAATCGTCACGGACGGCAGACAGACAGACAGACAGACAGACGAAAACCGGAGGTCATCGTACTCCAGGGTCATGGCAGGTCGAGAAAATATAAGAGTCGTGAGTCGGCCGATGGACTCGATTACAATACATTCCTAGCTACGCTTACGAGTAATTTTTGGTTGTGAAAAATAAAGATCAATTTTGCTTGTCTCTTGCGTTCTGCAAAACGTGTTAATTGAAAATGGTAGTAAAATAAAAAACTTTTATCGTCTAAACAACTCAAAAATGCGAATTTCTTCTTAAAAATATATATACACGAAAATACCAAATATCTTTTCTTCTCATAAAGAATGTTTATAAACTTTTAAGTAAATATTAGGGACATTACGAAAATGTGTAATAAATATCTAAGCACTAACTAGCAATTATTGTATATATATTTTTGTTTAAAACATGATCAAAGACAGCTATGAGTTTTTGAGAGTTTATCTTTGATCGTTCCATTTTCAACTCAAATTTTCAATTTGACGGTAATCTGACAAGACGCAAATTCTATGAAAAACAGATTTTCAGAAATCCTTAGCTATCTTTGCTCGTGTTTTTTATGCCCTCTTGGTGTTAAACTGGTCCAATACAAGATTACGTCTTTTTTTACATTTATGACTTTTCGGCATCTCTTGATGTCGACGATTTTATTGCAAAGTAAATTTTTGAAATTACTGGAGCTATTACTTTGAGACTTTGGGGATAGTTTAAAATTATGAGGAAGACTGTAAAATCTCAGTCAAAATGTCATGAAATGTTCACTTTAAAAATCCGATGAAGAGTTTTCTTCAGATTTTGTAGAGTAATTTTTCTCACTAAGGTCTCGTACTTTACTTACGCGTCGTCTTAAAATAATAATTGAAACTTGGACTTCAGGACCACATTTTATATAAATAATGTTTGTTTTTTGTACAACAGAAATATAAAAAAAACATGAAAGCGGCATAAAAGAAAAGTTACCCTTTGAAATAATTTTGTTGTATAGTTTTTTTATAGTTTTAGATCATATTTTTACTTCCTGAGCGTAAGCTAAGGAAGTATTGTAACAGGATCCATCGGAATCGTTGTTTTCAGGTTTTTTCGACGTTTTATAACCCTTAGAGTACGAAAATATAGACCCCCTGATTCCCTTTGTCTGTAGTCTGTGTCAATTTTCATTAGCCAAATAATCTTCAAAACTACTGGATCGATTGTTGGCAAATTATATTATATTATTTCATTATATTTTTATTTATATCTACGTTAGGAAATGTTGTGTAGATGCTAAAACGCTAACCAAAAATTGTCTAATCATCACCAACAACAACGGAATGACGTCATTGTGTTCATGAATCTGCGTTGAGTTTTTATCCTACATATCCACATTTTTGAAAAAAAAAAAAAAAATTAATAGCATTTTATAATCTAACTTTAAAATTGCAAAACCGAATGTTCTGATAACTTACAACGTTTTAAGGTGATCGTATTCATAGCAAATAGTTAATCAAAATTTATCCTTTTTTTTAGTTCCTCCCAAAAATGATGACGTCATCTTACAATTCTGTCGAACAAATGTTATAAAATAGCATACTCCTGCTTGTGTAAATTATGAATCCGTGTTGAGGTATGATCCTTAGCATGCAGATTTGTTTGAAAAAAAAATCAGAAGTGTACAACATTTTACAAATTAAATTTATAACCACAAAATAAATTTCGTCATTGGATGTAAAATCGGTGACGAAACTGTAGGCAAAACTTGCTATTGTTATCAGATAATTTTTGATCCTTTATACGAATTATTAAAAATAAAACAGTAACTTACGATATTCATGATAGAATTCACACCTTCGTCGACACGTTAATGATCGCCATCACATATTCGCGACGATTTTAACTAGAGCACCTCACCCACTTCCAGTCGTCTGCATTTTTCTTGTTGATTGTGTTTTCAAAAAACAGGATTTAGACGACCCAAATTACGGATTCGTTGCACCGTTACTCTGATTTATTTATAACGATATTCTGTATAAACTTATACACTGACGATAAAACAGAGGAGATTGTTAATTTAAAAGTCCATGTTGTTTATAAACGTCTAGACTAACAGTAATTTGAATAGAATATCACTACGCTTACTTATTGTATTTATGGAAATGAGGTGCAAATGAATACAGAATTTCGTTTTCAATTAAATTATATCCTGTGAGAAAAATTATTATTGCTTTATTATCAACTAAAGGGCGTTATACGAGGGTTATTAAGGCAATAATGCGCTGATTTTTGATTACTCGTTGTTTAGTTTACCACTACCTACGTCTAAACATTTTCTACACGGTCGTCGTAGTGGTATTAGTGTCAGTTTCAGTTTCCCGACTGTCCCTCGTAACTGGCTTTGTGTAACTAACTAGTCATCAACTAGTTGCAAGGACGAGGATGAATTTTTTTCGGTAGCGATTGTTGCTTCAGCCAGGTCGTTGAGAATCTCTCTTCTGACCTTTTTCGAACGTCTAACTCACGGTGCGAATATAATGATCTCCGCTTTTCCTTCGCAATACTGAGTGAATTGGTCTTTAATAATCGGTGTTTCTCTATCGTCTGTTATCCTTTTGTACCTTTTTGTAGCGAACGTTGTAGCTTAAGTTTTGTGTGAACTAACGAATTCTGAAAGATAAAACTGCAAATTTATTAACCGTCTACAAGCAACGACGAAGTTTTCAATGTAATTTCTTGAATTTTTAATATGACTTCACAATTATTTGGGGTTTTATTTTACGGTGTCGTCATTTTTTATTTATTACTTAATTTTGTTGGATATTTTTACATCTTGTTTAATTTTTTTGTATATTTTTCAATTTTTGACCAATTTTGCTTAGGTTTAGTAAAAATTCATATTTTTTCAATGGTCATTTTGTAAATATTCTTCAAACTATAAATAATTTGTTGTTTGGAGTTCTACAGGGGTGGGCCATAGATTCATAGTTGTTTGGTAAGTTCATCAGTGATATTCATTTTAACTTATATTATAGTCTCACCATTAAGAAACGGATTTATATGCACAAATATCTGTCAAAATATGCGTATATATAAATATTATTGCAGAATTTACAGCTAGAACTTGTTGCCTGATTTCCTCAGCAACTCTATGTCACTGCATTGGACAACGTAACTAAAATCTTCTATATCAGAATATCAGGAAGAAAGAAATTTATGAAAGATTCATTAATAAATCTAAATCCAGTATATTGGCAATATAACGCCCGCAGGCATCAGAAGTTTCATAAACTAGAAAGTATATAAATTGGTTTTTTACAATTCCTTTAATACCAGAAACAGTATCATTGTAAATATCTCGGACATCCGTACTTTAGTCCGATATAACGTGTTTGCAATATTTTTCTAAAAACACCTTAAAACAAGGATCTTCCAACTTTTTAATACACATACTTTGTATTTTGGTCGTTTTCTTGACATTTCACAGTCGTAGAACATGAGAGTATAGGTTTCGCGTATTCAGATATTCTTCTGTCGTTTATCGAATAGTCTTTGGGCGCTACAGAAACGATCATTTTGAAATTGTAAAAGCGTTTCAAACGGTAACCGTTATCGTAATTAAATAAATCGCATTTCAATTATTCGTACTAACACAATAATATTTACTTGACAAATTTTACGATCATTTTTTAAGATTGCATAATAAACTTCTTTGAAATTTTAACAAGATATTAGCAATCTCGTGGTCGTTTTTTACTACCGTTCGCACATAATTATTAATGTACGAACTAATTTATTTTGTTGTTTATATCATTGTTCTAATTTCCATTAAGTTCTCAGAACACAATGATACTTTTTTTTGTTTGTTAACAATGTATGTATAATATATAGATAAACATCAATTATTTTATTCGCACCAAACAATCAGGAAATCTTGAAAAATATAAAATAAATCTATCTGTACTGAAAAAAATAAGTAAGCGATGGGTCGTAGGTACTTAATTAGCAAAATATAATTAGATTATGTTATTAATTTATATACATGTAGTTAGAATTTAAGGAAACGGTTAAATATGTTGAGAACCAATGGTACGAATCACCTGAAATTAGATACAGGGGCACAAAAGGTTGTGTTTTAATTATATTCGTTAAAAAATTGTTTTTGCTTCATTTGTTTTCGAGATGCAAGGCACTACTACATACTTAATGCATTTTTGAATAGATTTTAGAGTTTTTTACTGCCAGGTAGTAAATGAAGAGCATTTTGAGCACCTTTTGTAGAAAACAGAAGTTTAGTTTTGGTTTCGGTTGTGACTTGTTAATTTATTTATTGTTTAATATTAACTAAAATTAATACTTATGGGTTATAAATTTAAATAGAAAGAAAGTATGATTGTGCTATATCAATTAAGACTATTATTAAGTTTAGACTTTGTCGTGTAGTTCTCATCGTTCTGTTGGGCAAATATATTTACATTTATTTATTTATTTATAAATGAATTCAGAAAAAAAGCTCCATTTAAAAATGAATTTATTAATCATTAGGTATATGGTAGCGCTATTAAAAAAAAATCAAATTAACTTTATTTAAAAAAAAACTCGCCGTTTGACCATAAAACTGTATAGGTTTGTTTACTTAAAAAAACATTGTTATTTAGGTTTATTAACTCCAAGGAGAGGCCATAAACAATATTTATGTACATAATTTAACTCCGCACATTTGAATAGAACATTCAAAAACTTAAAATCTCTTCCAGAAATGTCAAATTCTTCTAAATTATTAGATTTAATTAAGAAAAAACAAAAAAATTCCACACAGAAATATTTTTCATAATATTTGCTATAAGTACAGGTTCTTGAAGTTACCCTTTCAAACAAACGTAAAAAATTGATACAGCTGTAGTAGATACAACTTTTTGGAACTTCAAATGGAACAACTAAAATTTGTAGAATACACATATTTGAAATTTTTGCTTTCCGTTTTCATATTAGATTTGAACGATGTTAACCAAAAACGTACTAAGCGCCAAATCGCAAAAAATGAGTTAAACCTGCTAACAGTCAGAATTTAATGTCAAAAAGTAATTTGTAAAAATACTTTATTTGTCTTAATTATTTTTATACCAAAATTTGAGGTGGAACTATGTGCCTTTAATAAATCTGGGATTATGTTTTAATCAAAAAGGTACCAAGCGACACAGCACTTTTTTTAATTGGTTGTGCAGTGCTTTGTTTCCTTATAACTATCCTACAAACTTAGTGTTTTATTTCCGGTAAAACAAGGAAAGGACACTATTTTATTTGGAAAAAAAGAAAATAGGTTGCGGCACACAAAAGGTGGGATCTTGTCTTATAAATGCTTAATACCTACTGAAAATTTTACCACAAAGGCTATAACAGAACTGACTCTGTGTATTCATGCTAAAATCAATTTTATAGCAACATTCTACTTAACAAACAATTTATTTGAATTTTTTTGTTTCGACGCCACAAGATTACGCCAATATTATGTTAAATTGTAGAAAGAAAAATCCATTTATTGTTTAGTTTATGCAGAAAGAACATTTTTGTAGTGAAGCCGATTTAGAGTCTAGTGTCACAAATAGAAGGCATACATGAACAAAAAATTAGATGATTGAAAACAAGAGTGATTAAACTTACTAAAGATACACCGCTTTCTATTTTTATGAAAAGTAATCAGGAAAATGAGATCTACAATGAAGTTTTGATGCATAAAAGGAAAAGACTTCTAAAAATTTTGGAAAATTGTCTACATTATGGCCCAATGGAAAAGCAATATCGCATTTTGTCCTTTTATTCCCGAGGATGCAAAACTCTTTTACAAAAACTTACATGAAATAAAATGTTTTTGTTTCATGGCATATGTTCCTTTTGCTAGCAGGTCGTTAAATTAATATAAATATATATAATATTTTTCAAAGAATTACTTAGTGCCTTTTTACGGAATAATAAATTTAATATCATGGTTTTCTCAAAAAAGAACCAAGCGCCAAAATGCTTCTTTAAAACTGTAAAGGACTGGGTGTTTTTGATGCCATTAACAAAATAGACTACATGCATAAAGTCATGTATTCTTAAGGCAAAAATTTTATTCCGACATTAATACAAATTTTTAGTTTTTAATAAAAGTTCACCCTAGTATTACTCAAATTGCAATTTTGTCGCTTAGTACGTTTTTGGTTAACGTGGTCCATTTATAATATATATTTCATAATCAAGTGCTTTTTGAATCAGAATTGTATAAACAAATATAGTGTTTTATTATTATTAATGATAAACGGGATTTGCAGCACGTTTTAAATACATTGGCCCGAAACTCCTTAGTTTAAAAAATGTAGATACATGCAAAAGAATTGTATTTATTGCACTTTTTATAAGTTTGTTTTAAGATTTAGTTTTAGGTAATTATCTTGTTTGTGTTTTCGTTAGCCTTACATAATCTCGAATAATGTGGTAATGCGCCGTAATTATGAATTTTTTTTTATTAAACACTAATTAAATTACTTGGTACGTTTGCGAGACTCTAGAGCAGTAACCATGCACCGTATAACTAGAAACATATTTAATGACTTAGCATCGGAATCATCATGTTGAAAATTTACACTATAGACAAATAACGTTGAAGAGTTTAACACAAATACGCTGTCACTCACCTTGCTTTAAAAAAAATATGCGTGTGAACATTTTTAACGAGATGTTTATAAGTTCAAGGACGTCTTATGTGCTACCTATCTGGAATCTCTACAACAAGAACATAAATTTAGCTGTAACAATGCCGTTTTGGTTCGTTATAGTCCTTAATTGTGAAGTGTAAATAGAATATTTATTTTGCAAATAAAAACTTACACTGTAAACAAGAAGCTATTATTTAATGGCGAAACATGTATTTATACATAATTATACATAAAAATAGTTCCGAGAACCTAATGCTGGTTTTGGGTAAAGAATAAACTATTTTTCAGCATGCAGCATATTTTAGACAATTAACTAACATCTTTTTTATTTGGAACACACCACAATAAGTTGGGCGAAAAATAAAAAACCTGATTT